ATGAACAGGACTCTTCTAGATAAAGTTAGGAGTATGTTGTCTACTTCTGGCCTTCCCAAGAAGTTTTGGGGAGAAGCAGTTAACACTGCTGTGTATCTAATCAATAGGTCCCCTTCTGTGCCTCTGGGGGTAAGACCCCTGAATCTGTTTTCTCTAGAAAGCCCATTGATTTGTCCAACTTAAGTGGGTTTGGGTGTGCTGCCTATGTACACCAACAGACTGACAAGCTGGACTCTAGGTCTAAAAAGTGTGTTTTCTTAGGATATCCTGAAGGTGTAAAAGGTTATAGAGTCCGGGATAGAAATCAAAGTGGTTTTAAGGTCATTATAAGCATAAATGTTGTTTTTAATGAAACTGATTTTCCTTGCTTAGTTAAGACTGTGACTGACCCTGAACCCGAACCAAATGGCACCTCTCAAAGTGAGGTGGAGCCTGTGCAACCTGCTGCCACCCCTTTGTTTACTGAATTTGAGTCTTCTGATAACCCTGACCTCACCAACACCATGCATACTACCCCCTCCACCTCTAGTGAGGTGGAGCCGCACACTGATTCTGATAATAATAGTGAGAATATGCATGAAGTGTTTACTGAGAATTATTCTGCTGATAGTAATCATGATACTGAGGATCAAGGTCTAGAAGGTTATCAATTGGCTAGGGATAGAGTTAGGAGAAATATAAGGAAAATATCTGATAGCATGATTGACTATGCCTTTCACCTCTATGATACTTCCTTATTTGCTTTCTCAGTGTTTGAAACTCTTGATTTGAATGAACCTAGAACCTACCAGGAAGCCCTTGCATCTAGAGAATCTAAAAACTGGCTTAGTGCTATGCAAAGTGAAATAGATTCCCTTAAGTTGAATAAGACTTGGACCCTAGTTCCTAGGACTCCTAATTATTCTGTTGTTGAGTGCAAATGGCTTTTCAAAGTTAAAGAGGAACCTAATGATATTAGGTTTAAGGCTAGGTTAGTTGCCAAAGGTTTCACTCAAAAGGAAGGGATAGATTATGCTGAAATTTTTGCCCCTGTAGTAAAATTCACTACAATTAGGATGATGCTTGCCTTAGTTTCCCATAATGACTGGGAAATGAAGCAGATGGATGTTACCACTGCCTTTTTACATGGTGAACTGGATAAGCAGATTCTTATGACCCAACCTGAGGGATTTGTTGACCCCAAATTCCCTAGGCATGTCTATCTTCTTAAGAAGGCTCTCTATGGCCTTAAACAGTCTCTTAGACAGTGGAACATTAAGTTTGACCAATGCATGTCTTCCCTGAGTTTCAAAAGGTCTGATTTTGATCCTTGTTTGTATTTTAAGAATAATGATTCTGTACCTGTTTTCTTGTTGATCTATGTTGATGACATGCTTATCATTAGCCCTTCTGTGAATGCTATTAAGACTGTTCAAAAGTGCCTTTGTGAAAACTTTGCTATGAAGGACCTTGGAGATGCTAAGAGAATCCTAGGGATTAATATCATTATGGATAGGAGTAGATGTACCCTTACCCTTAACCAGACCTCCTACCTTGATAAGGTCCTAAAAAAGTTTAATATGAATTCTGCCCTGCCTGTAAATGTGCCCTTGGCCCCTCATTTTGTTTTGAGTAAGGATCAGTCACCTAAGATTAGCCCTGAAATTGATATGATGAAGTTTGTACCCTATTCCAATGCAATAGGGTCGGTCATGTATCTCATGGTAAGCACTAGGCCTGATATAGCTTATGCAGTCAGCTGCTTAAGTAGATATATGGCCAACCCTGGAATGCCACATTGGAATGCCCTGAAATGGTTGCTTAGGTACCTTAAGGGTACCAATTCTCATGGTCTTGTGTTTTCTAAAACTAATTCTGGAATTTTACTTACTGGTTATGTTGATTCCAATTATGCAAATGATAGAGATAATAGGAAGTCTACTACATCCTATATTTTTACTTTGTGTGGTTCATGCATAAGTTGGAAATCCCAACTTCAGCCCATTGTTGCACTTTCTACGACTGAATCTGAATATGTTGCAGCCACTGAGGCTTTTAAAGAGGCTGTCTGGCAGATACGTATTATATCTGAAATTGGTTTTCTTAGATAGGCTGTAACTGTGTACTCTGATAGCCAGTCCGCTATCCAATTGTGCAAAAATCCAGTATTTCATGACAGGACCAAGCACATTGATGTCAGGTTCCACTTCATAAGGGACATTGTTGACAAAGGAGGGATCAAGCTGTGCAAAATAGCTTCTGAATTCAACCCTGCTGATATGGGGACTAAATGTCTCACTTTTGAAAAACTGTTGTCTTGTAAACGTATTCTTAATTTAGATTGTGGCTAGATAAGAACAGACAAAACAAGAAAAACCGGCGATGATGATACTCCCTTTCACAGTGTGCTCTACACCACCAGGGGGACCAATAAGGTGGAGATTGTTGATGGTATTGGTCCACCTCAATTAAGCCTAGGTCCACCCCATTAATAGTCTGGTCACCTATTTAATGTTCTGGCACATTTGGGCTGTCTACTCGACCAAGCCCATTCGCCCTTCTTTGTTTCCTAGCCAGCCCGTGACCCTGTGGCCCTTTGATTTATTTGTCTGGTTCCTTCTCGAACCTCCTATTTCACCCGCTCCTCCTTCTCTCTATCCGATGTGCTCTTCAGTGTGTTGCCCTGGTTCTAGAGTGAGAGAGTGTCGGTTTCACTGTTGGGTTGAGCTCCGGCTAACCTTCGGTGATTCCTTGGGGATCCTTTGGTGGGCTTCACTCTGGTCTGGTAGTTTGGGACTACTCTCCGGTGGGTTTTCTCTGGGGCTTTGGTCTGGGGGGTTGGGCTCTATATTTTAGTGTAGTTGACTGTTGCCCTTCCATCTTCCCTACTGCAACCTTGGTGGTGAATGCTGAGCAAGCCTTTGGGCTATGGTGATTGAGGTCTGAGCCGGTCCGGATTCCCAACATTCTGATTAATGTAAAATGGGTTGGCGAGCTGTGTATGGGGATGAAATACCTTTTTTAAAACACTCAATGAGTTTTAATTGAATAAAAATCGAGTTTAAAAAATATGGTAGTAAGTAGTGGTAGTTTTTTTAATTGATATGTAGTACTACCTCTATTTCATTTAATGGTTCACATTATCTAATGACATGACAATTTAGACAATAGTTAAAAAAAGTAATTCGAATATATTTTGATAAACTGTTTAGATGGATATATAAACTATTTAATATATCCATCTACGTAACAATTAGCAGTTTAGATGGAAAATAGAACTAACTGTTTAGATGGAAATTAAAGCTAATTTCCAACATAAGTCATGATCAATCCCTCTCATAAGTAAGAAGGTTTTCTCTCACGATCAACTCTACGTTGCGGTTGAAAGAGTTATCAATCGAAAAGGGGCTGAAAAATTTGTTAGTGGCTGGGCACGATCAAAGCATGACAACCAATGTCAAGTTTTCCAAAATTTATAAAACTCATGTTGGATTTTGTTATTTATTTCTTACAAGTAGTACTATTAAGTTCGTTTGGAATTTTTCTGCATAGCACGGGTAAAAAAGTTTTTGGGATGGCCGGAAATATTTCCCCGGGATATAACGAGCCATTCAGTTGCCGGACACAGAACTACGAGGATAAGAAGAGTAAAATGTAAATGAGCAGTCTTGGAGATATTGGCACGTATACTAATGCTACGTAAAAATGTTTATACGTGAGCTGAGTCTCTATGCTAGAACTAATGCCTGGACTTTGAATAACAAAAAATGATGTTGTGAAATAATCGTTCGGCAGGATTGTATCATCCGTATTTTTAAAGTATAGCGCAAGGACCTTCATTTATATAGGAATGAATAAATATTTTAAAAGGTAGGAAGTTGTTGATCCTAATAACAAGGAGATAAACAAGCATTATCATGTATTAGCCAAGCACGTAACGTAGTTCACTTCAACGCATGTGAAATTACGGAGCAGTTAAAGAATAATTCAAAGATGATTTATCTGGAAATAAACCCATTTAATTTATATCGATTTTAATTTTAAAAGATAAACTGGTCAAAAATAAAAGTTAAAGGTTTTATTTGTTTAAAATACTCTTAAAATTTCCAACAAAAGAGAGCCAAAGGCGACAGAGAATGTAGAGATAGAACCGTCTGGAATGCATGTTCCAAGCCCTAGGAGCATCAGATACATATGGACTGTTTAGCCTGGGCCGATGCATCACATATATAGGTCCTTTATAGCCTTGGGCCAACTGGGAGTGTTTAGCCTTTGATCCGTTAGTTATACAATTTTTTTTAGTATTTCATATATGATTTAGGAAGTATTTGCAATAGTTTGTGCTTTAAAAGAATTATTTTCAAAGTAATTTTGGAAAAAATGCTTAATAGTAAAAGTTGGTAGTGTTTGATAAAAAGGTGATTTTGAAAAGTAAAAATGTGTACGTAGTGTTTGGTAAAATATGTGCTTTTGTGTAATAGAAAAAGTAAAAAGCATATTTTAGTTTTTAAGTTTTTTAATGTTTTATTTAAGCAGAAGTTGTCACTTGAAAACACGTTTTTTAGCTCTTTTTTAAGACAAAAGTCGAGAAGCGTTTTTTAAGTGTTTGCAAACATTACCTTATACTCCCTTCGTCGCATAAAATTCTTTGAAGTTTTGTATGGATCAGAGTTTAATTAGGTGAGCATAAGATGTAAATGTATTGTTGTGATTCAATAAGAAGATAAGTGAATGTTAGTCATACAAAAATTTTCCACAAATGAAATGTGGGGAAAAAAATTGGAACATCATAAAATAAAATGATAAGTGAAAAGAATTTTATAGAATGAAGTGTGTGCTTTTTAAGTGTTTAATTATGTAAAATGAAGAAAACATGAATGGTGAGTGACAAGCATCAACGAATTGGTTGCACCCTTCACTTTCAGTCTAAAATTGGAAACTCTTTTCAATAGTTTTGTTAACGTCAATAGAAAACAAATGGCTAAAAGGGTTGTTATTAGATGGTGACGATCAAAGTACAATGAAGACAACCAATATCTACTAAAAATGATAAGTGGGAGAGGGGGTTAGCATGGCTCTTTTACCGTGTGAATAGTCCCTATTGATTAACGCCGTTTGCTGCTCTCCGCCTATGAAGTGAGTCACGCTGCTTTCCCAACTCATTTTCCAAATTCCGCTTCTCATTTTTGCTCGCTGTACGCAGGGCTAGGGTTCCGAAGTACATATGGCTTCATGGAGCGATTTCTCCTTATTTTTGGAGATTTGTTGTGTTAGAGACTGTTTTTTTTCTTGGATCTTGGTCGTAATCCCTTTCTAAACTCTGGATTCAGCTTGGAAGGATGATTCACGCACAAAGACCATAAAACGATTTCTAATTTTCGCGAAATGCATTGTTTACGGCTGAGAATGTGACATTCAAGGTAATAATCTCCATCTTCATATGATTCAAGGTTGTTTTGGGACTCGCCATGTCCAGACGCCCCTACCCACTCTTTTTTTCTGGTCGATTAGTTTTAGGGGTCCTTGTCTGGCACTGTTCATCTTCGTTCTTGCGCGGTGAACAGTGGGCTGTTCGTAGCTCTGCCCTGCGATGGCGAGGAAGAAACAGAAAGTTGGAGAGTGAAGTGGAAATGACTCCCTAATATAGATTGTCATTTCCTTTGAATTTAGGAAATATAAGTGTTTAGACAGTTGAAACGTCCCAATATTGTGCAGTATTATGGTAGTGAAATTGTAAGAACATTCTCTACTCTCCTGGATTTGCAAATAATGATACACGTCTTTTTGCAGAGGAATCTCCACCTTATGTGTGTGTGTGTTAGTTAATCGATGTTTTTTAATATGGTTTAGGTCGATGATCGGTTTTGCATATATTTGGAGTACATCCATCCTGGATCACTTAATAAATATCTTAGAGATTATGAGGGAGCTTTGCCAGAGTCTGTTGTTGGGAATTTTACTCGTCATATTGTTTCTGGAATAGCTTACTTGCACAACACCAAGACAATTCACAGGTATTGTATCACAGCGGTGGTAGGCTGGGTTATAGTTGAAGTACTTTAATTATATAATAAGGTTTTCACACTTTTGGCCACTGCCTGTTTTGTCAACTACACTTTGGTACCTGTCTTTGAATATTTCACTGAATGCCCTATTAATATTGTGACACACACTTCTTGTACCCATCTCTAAATCTTTCCACTTTTAGCCATGACAAATACACTTTTTCTCCGCATTCTTTTGCCACAATAGTTGAATGACTTACAATTACAGTAGTTGGAGCATAAATTTATCACTCGTACATTAGTCTGTGGACTAAAAGTAGAAAAACTTAGAGACCATACAAAAAATGTCCCATAATAATTGGAGGACCAAAATGGGAAAAGTTCAATGATAGGTACTAAGGTCTCATTGCAACAATAGTTTGGAGAATTTAAAGTGGAAAACACTTATTATATAATGAATGATAATAATATCTTATTAGGGATGTTTGAGAAACAGGGACATAAAAGGGGCTGATTTGCTTGTAGATGCATTTGGTGTTGTCAAGCTTGCTGACTTTGGATTGGCAAAACATGTCAGTTCTTGAAACCTTGTATTCTTTATATTAACTATGATGGAATACTTACTTTCCCAGCATGCTCTTTATTTTTTGATTCACACACGTACACACTTACTGACATTGCTCATTTGTTCTGTATAGATGCTTTTTTATGCTCTCAAAGTGCGTCCGTGGTATTCACTTCTTCTGTTTTCTTTTCCCATTAAATTAAGAGGTGCAATTCCTTCTTAATTGTATGTAATCCAAGTTCTTAGTTGTATGCTTGTGTTTCTACGTTTTCTGCTCTGAGATAATATAAAATTTACCTTAAGCTGTTTCATAATATATTTCTCACTCGTTCTCTGAACTCTATTTCAGCTTTCGGGGAAAAATATTGATCTTTCATTGAAAGGAAGTCCTCATTGGATGGCCCCTGAGGTATTTCAATAAAACGAGTAATCTTGACAGTTCTTATTTTCTTGGACTACTTTAGCAGGACACATATATATGTATACACATGTGCCAGGTGATGCAGGCAGTGTTAAGGAAAGATGATAATCCATATCTTGCACTTGCAGTCGATATATGGAGCTTGTGCATGTGTAGTGATAATAATCAAGTATGTACCTTATATGAGAATTTTATGGGGCTGGTTTTTAATCACTTCTCTTCCTCATCATTTGATACATATGTTTATTGGTCTTTTTAGGGGAAAGTACACTCTTCCTACCACACCCCTGATGGTGCAAAACCACTATATCTTCATATTTCCGCTGCAGCACATGTAATTGGCTCGTCTTCTGTAATTCATTTGCGATTCTTTTCATGAAATGCCACCTAAGCTAATACATTCTGAGCTCAAACATCATATTAAGTGTATTTCCTTTTCATTGTTCTTCTACTCTAAGAAAGGCTCTCATTTTCTTTCTTCATTTGTATTTTAATGAATAATTTAAATTTGTTTCAATTATTGTTGCACTATTATTATTTTAATCTCAGGATCTAACATTTGCATGATCTACTTATCAGAAACTGATTCTGATGTATATGAATTGTTATATGACCAATTAGTTAGAAACAACCGTGGAGAGGATCAAAGTACTTGACAATGCATCCTCGCTTATGAAGGAAATATTGAAAGAGGGTTCATCAAACAATGGGTTGAAGGTTTTATTCTCTTAATGTTAATGAAAGTGGTAAACACTAGGGTAATTGCACTGATTAATTTAATATATTGTCTGTCAAATTGCTATCACGCTAATTTAGTATAATGTCCATAAAATAAAAAATGTTAATTTGTTTTTTTCTCGGTCTTAAAATAATTACAAGATTCTAAATATGAATAGAAGGTATCATACTTCTTTTGTTAACCACTAACACTATTTTTTATTTTGTACAGAAGCCATCAAAGTAGACGGTGTCGTTATTTTGCTGTATTTTGATCCAGCTCTAGCTCTCATGTCATCTGCAGGGAAAATGAAGTTGGAGCTAAAGAAAATCAGAGATTAACTCAGAATGACAGAATGTTATTGTGGCTGTGCTCGTGTTCAGGGTAAATGTTTCTGAATTATGGTTTTTGTTAACTCTCACCGCGTTTAAACTAAAAGTGAAATGCTTTTAAAACTCTAGAACCAAATTGGAAGAATGTCATAATGTGTTCACAGTTCTTGAATTTATCTCCTTAGGGTGATACCTTACATGTTTCTTGAATAGGCAGGCCAACATATGAGTTTCCCCATCCATTAGCTCGTGTGCGGTGTGCCCCAAAGTGCTGGATATTGGATAAGATTCCAGTGTTTTTTAATAAAACTATTTTTTTATCTAATAAAATATCACTACATAATCAACTTTTCTTATATGGTGGTGGACTTGCTGATATGGTGGGGCATAAGAAGTTATATTAATGACCTCAAACATATTTAATACATACCATGGTTCCATAGAGGTACAGTATCTCTCTGCCTTGCTATATAAAAATGAAGCACTCTAGATGTCCGTGAATTTGTCTCATTGAGTTCTTTCTTTGGTACAGTTTCTTTTCCTTCACTCCCCCCAACTTGTATTTTCTTTTAAGTTCTACTGATATTGACTTTGCTTCCGCTTCGATTTTTTTATTCTGAAAAATGAATGGACATCAAATGGTTGTGTAAAATGTTTTTTCCTTTTTTGCCCTCAAACTCACTTTAGTCTTTTATCCAAATAAATTTAATCACATGATAAAATTGACAGAATTATATAAATATCAGCCTACTAGCTTAAATGGCATTACAAACATGGCCTTAAACATAATATCTTGGTAAAAGATATCGTATAGTAACTTCTTTTTATAATAAAGTGACATACTTGATGATTTTGTGGTTGCTGCTTTTTGAAGTTTGTGATTGATGAAAGCTTGATCTTGAAAAGTGAATGCTTTGCACTATTTGTATAATGAATCCTTTGTGATGAGCTTTTAATCTAATAAATATTTTATATTATAGAAGGACAAAAAAGAGACGAGTTAAAAAGAAAACTAAAGAAAAGGGAGGAGAAGCACACAGATTACAGATGTTGGAGCAAGGGTCAAAATACTGGACGAAGAAAGAGGGTAGGGGAAATAAATGGAAAAGAAAAAGAGATAAAAATTTGACATGTGGGTCGCCTTCGCATATAACTTGTGTAACCGGTTGTTTAGAGTCAAAAGTGTGAGTGTTTTTTTGAAGTTGTAGTGCTTGATTGGGTGTTCTTTTAGTAGGAGAGGTTAAGTGACTTTTCGAGTATAGTAGAGGGGCCAACTTGATAGTATTCCCCTTTTCATATATGTTCATTTATAGCTGAATAATGCTCATCTTTTTCGCCCACTTGGAGCTTGGATATAATCTTATTGGACCTGATGGTTCAAAGACATTAGCTGAAACTCTTAAGTTTCATGGGAATGTGAAAGATCTCATGCTTGGTTGGTGTCAGGTATAATCCATTGATAACATTTTGTAATTTACCATCCTTGTAAATTCAATTGCTCTTATATGATGATGATGATGATGATGAATTGATGATGAGTTTCTTGCATCCATGTACAGATAGGGGCCAAGGGTACAGAGTACATTGCAGATATGTTGAAATGCAATGGTACCATATCAAGTCTTGACTTGCGGGTGAATGGACTAAGAGATGAGGTTGGTTACTCCAATACTCCTGTATATTTTATTACTCCCTGTCCCTCAAGACTTCCTGAATATGATTGGCAGTTTGGCACAAAGGTTCAGGAAACGAAATTTATTCAAAAGAGAAGTAAACAATATGAACCACAAATTTCATTCCTTAAAAGGAAGTAAATGAGGTCTTTTGAGGTTGACAAAGTTTCATTAATCACTTAGAATTGCCCTCATCTTCTATGTTTGTCAAACTCTATTTTTTTATACCATGCTACTATATTGGTCTATGTTGATTGGTGCAATTTGAAAGGCGACCTGCTTATACTTCTATTAGACCTTCTTTTAAAATGACTTGTATAAGTATAAAATGTTTGTAGTTGTTGATATTATTCATTACAATTTCAGTGTGAAAGAAGCATTAATCTTTTTCATTTGCACCCAGAAAATGAATACTGGTATTTCATGTTAAAACAACCTCTAGAGGATGCACTTTTCACCAAGTTTGCAGATATTATTAAGTTTTTCCCATTGGATTTTATGTTTATCATCAACTCATATTACCTGATTTTGTATGTAACTACAAAATGGCTACAAGCCAAAATTTATGTTCTTGATTTGTTCTTGTTTATTCCTGTACTCTGGTTTGTAGACTTTTTAAGATATATTTATACTTTTTGAGTGAAGTCTGACTGCTTACACTTGATATATATATATATAATTCATTTAAGTTTTATAAAATGTCAATTACATGGATGTTTGTTATATTATAGTTGTGTTTTAAACTTTCTCAAAGTATGAACTAGCATCTGGGGAAAGCTATCTGTGGAAAGGTGACTTAGGGCGAGATTTGAAGAAAATTTCTAGCTCTAGAAAAACATTATTTGGATATCACTGAAGACCATTTGATTTTCATTCCTATTCCTTAAGGAAAATTACACTTAGAACGTATATGATAATTTTGATTTCAAAATCTTTTATAAAATTGAGTTTCCTTTTCACATCTGATTGTTGAGTTAACTAGAGACTAAATCTACTTTTTCAAATAATGTTTCTGGGGTTAATCTTAGGTTACTTGTCATACTTAAGTTTTAGAATAAAATGAGATTCAAAATACTTGCATTTTTTATTCCAAGGTCTCTTCTTTCCCGGTGTGGTTAATATTACCGGGTTGCATGATCAGTTCTATTAAATTGGCTTACCAAGTTACCATGCTTCCTCTTTGATTTGTAGTCGAGTTTGTTGTTACTGTGCACTCTGCTGTATGCCTATACCACACCTCCCATGCATGAAGATATTCTATGCCTGTTCTTTTATATGTGTGCCAGCGAGAGCTTCAAAGGTCTTGTTTTCCACTCTTAGTCATCGTTATCAAGTTTGGTTGTTCTTGACGGTTTAACTTCCAATATTCAAAACAACAAAGGTGTGAGTCTTTCTTAATTAGTTGGGTGCTACAATTCAAAGGGTGCATTGAAAATTCATTACGGGACACATGATGAACCCTTTTTTCTTGGAGTGAAGATCATCTTACATCAGGTTGAAGAGGATTTAGAAATACATCTTGCTACAGCTTAATGTTTTTCAAGCATGGTCATGGTAGAGTGATTATGCTTGTCATTTCAAGCAAAGCGTAGAGATCAACACAAAGAACCATTTTGCTTTAGTGTCGTTTAACATGCGTAATTGTCGATGCAATTTTGGTTGTTGCTATTCTCTTTGCTTTAACTTTGTTATGTTACTTCCGTTAAGAGCCATTTTGATGCTCTTTACATTGAACATTTTGCTTCCGTTGGGCACTGCATAAGCACAACTTAAAATGTACTTCGTATAAAATTCATGGACCATATTATTCACATCTTTAGAATATTTTGGATTTTGATTGTTTTTGCACAGTTTTGTTGCTTGGTTTCCAATGTTGGGCACGGGATTTCGTGCAACGCGCGATGCCATGCTAGTTGTCTATATATAAAGAAGTTTTTCAAAATTTATATAACTCATATTTCATTTTGCTATCGATTGTTTACAAATAGTACTATTATGTTGTTCTGCTATAATTAGAATAATTTTTTACATGCATATTGTTTTTTCTTTAAGTAGTTGTATGCAATTTGCCTGCTTGTGCATCGCACCGATAAACTGCACGACAAAAAGCTTTTTGAAAGTCTGTTTAGAAGTCTCTCATGGTCAACTTTATGATCCGGTTAATACGGGTAATTTGTTGTTGAAGAAGCAAGTTTTCTCTCATGGTCAACTTTATGTTGCGGTTTCAAGAGTTACCAATAGAAAAATGGCTGAAAATTTGTTGTTAGTAGATGGTGACGAACAAATTACACTACTAGAAAAATGCTTTACAGTGACACCAAATTAGTGTCACTGAAAGTTTCTGTGACACTAAAAAATTTTCAATGAAAGTTGGAAATAGTAACACTATTTAAGTGTCACTAAAAGTGTCACTAAATTGTGACACTATAGTATCACCAAATAGTGATACATAGGTGACATAACTGTGCTATGACACTTTTACATCACAAATTCTAATGACACCAGGGTATCACATAATTCTGTTTTTCATTCAACGAACATGATATTTTAGTGACACTTTGGTATCACTTTGTTTTGTACAGTTTCAGCAATCTAAATCAATTATAATTTAGAAATTCTATTTCAATTATATTACAGAAATTCCGATTCAAATTCACTAAATCCATAAACGGTAGTGTAAATCTCAAAACATAGATTGAACGTTTAAAGTAGAAAATTCATTTCAATGTCAAAGCTACATTGTTGTTAAAGTTTGCATTCTAGGCATATGCAAAACCAAAAATACTCTGATGGACAAAACATCCTGTCGTATTCTTTCTCCTTTAATTTTGTTTTCTTCTTTCTTCTGCTTCCTTCTTGCTTGCCAATCTTTCCTCTTCCCTTGCCTTCTCTCGTGTAGCCTTGTATTCAGACAGGAAATCTCGAACCATTCCATAACCAACATGCTGCTTTCCAGTGACATAAGAACGAGTCCTCTCAGCAGCAGCATTTGCAATTAAAAAGGAGCCATATGTTTAACACAATGCCATCTTTTTATCTTGTGCCATCATCAACAAGTTGATTTGCTGGGACTTGTGAGTCAATGATATCTTTTCAATATTAAGCAGTTCCACCTTTTTCATCAACGCTTCAGCTTCATCCTTCAAAAAAACATTGAACTTCAAGAGGTGCAGTCAGATCGCAAGAGCCTTCCTTGCCTTGGTGCTCTCTTCCTCATGAGAATATGCCAACTACATCAAATTCCAAATATTTAAGCATCTTTGGAATGAGTCAAAATATCGAATGCAAAATGAAGGCATATGTACAAGCGTAGTGCGATAAAATATTTTTATAATTTCAAGATCAGAACTAAAAAGTTAGGATTACAAAGTTTCCAGTTCCTAAATAGCTGAGAAGTTTTAAGGTCAAGTATAGGCCAAATAATACACTCCCTCCAGACCACTTCTCATGTATGAACCTGTTCACTGAGTTTTGTGTAAGAAATTGAACAAAAGGGAGTATTTGAACACAAAACTTGTGTATGTTGATTTCTTTGGCATCCTTTACTTGAATCAAGAAGAAGAGCACGGACTGGCGAACTGTTCTTGGGTTTTTCTTCCCTTGAAAATTGCTAAGAGCATAAAACATCACACCCGTCGACATAAAGAGAAAGAACAAAATCCAGAATTTTGCTTGGATGGATTAGACATTAATAAAACTTGTTCCCTTAAAAGCATAAGCGAAAATATGAAAGAAAATGTGTATACAATACCCATCCAAATGTGAAATGGAGATTTTTTCCAGTTTCCAAATGTATGGTGGCGATTGGGGGAGGTGGAGATATTTTGAGATCTTAAACAACACCGAGAAGCTAGCCAGCCATTCCATCCTCGCCCGCTGCCCTGCCACCTAAACGACTCCACATACATTAGCTGTTGGAACATAAGGCATACATAACTAATGCTGTCAAATGAGAGAAAAAATCAGGGGACCGACCCTTGTTACTGCCAGTAACTTACTGGTTAATCCTTCTAGTACCTTTTTTCACCACCTCAATCTACCATCATAAGGAAAAACGTTGATTATCTTTTACCAGCAATTTCTTTCTCATGCATCTGTTCAAAGATGACTACAGAGTACAGACCAATGTTCTAAAAGTCGCTAGGCGCTAGTCGGGCGGCAGAGGGCCGCTTAGCGCGTAGGCCGACTAATCGGCGACTATTCGGTAATTAATCGGCAACTCGGGTGGAAGGATTTTTCTTCCTCAACCAGTCATTCACCCATGTGTATTAGTGTATGCAGTAAAAATAATTCAAGCCACATGGAGTTTTATAAAAAAACAGCTTCTATAACTAATGATTAATATATACTATAAAACAATGGGAGCTTCCATTAAAGAGCTCAACAAGCAACGAACCTAACAAGTTCAAGAAAAGAATGTCATCCCAAAAAACATCAACGGTAAACACAATTCAAAAATTCAGCCAATTAAGCAAGGATTCGAAAAACTAGCATTGGACATAAAATCCATTCCTTAATAGTTTAATACTAGGAAGTACAAAACCAGCATAAATGACTTTTCAAAAGTATATTCAGTGATCATATTATCAATAAATTAGCAAGTGAGAGGTTTGAGTGAGTTTTTTTAAAAAGAAAGTGTTAGTTTAAAAAAACTTATTAGAGGTTTTAGTAAGTTTAATTAACATTAACTTAAAGTCTTAAACTTAACCAGATAATGGTCATTTTTGCAGGAGCCAAAGGTAACGCCGCTGGCTCGAACCCTCCTGGTGCTGAAATAAAACCTTTTGACAGAAGAAAATCACCGCTACACATCATATATACTTTTTGACTGTAAGTTGAATAAGAAAGCCGTTGTCCCAAGCCGTGTAGCACAAAATCTTCAAAATGAGCCTTTTATTCCAATCTCAGAGAAGGAAATTGCGATCTTTGTTTCCTGCGAAACAATGTGGGGAACCAAATAAGAAATTTACCTCATTATCACCAAACACAAAATTATGTTGCTACATTCCAAGTAGGGTTATTTTGTTCATATTCACTACACCAATTTAAATATCTTGTATCTAAGAGCGGTTCTACATGAGTCACCTAGTAGAACTCTGTCAGCAACATGGTTAAATTCTGACATAGTGACATAACTATCATCACATACAGTGAGTATAAACCAACCTTAATTTACTCCTTTTTTAGCAACCTCAATCGCTCCATTATTAATTGGTCAAACTCAGGGGTAAATAGGAATAGCACTTCATCAGAGAGGCTTTGATCGAGGAAAAGTACTGGTTTTTGGGTAGGCAATGAGGATCGGGGGAGAGCAGCCACATGGGAATTTTCTTCTAAGATGTTAATTAAATTTGTTGCTCGTTATTTTTCCATCTTGGTGTAAATTATTTCTAGAGCTGGATTGTTTTACTTTTATTTAATTGCTTGGTTTGAGTTGGAAAAAAAACAAGTAAACCTATAAACAACATCTGAATTCTGAAATGATAAAGCTTGATAAAGTATGAGCTTTGCCAGAACAATTCTCAACCAAATTTCAACCTATTGAAGTTAAAGAATGTGGTGTATACTTCTTTGAGGACATTTGCGAAACACTTAACTTACAAAGTTCCCATATTAAGTTGCTCATATCAATCATTTACACAGATTCATATGTATAGACATCCAAATGTTTAATCATTAACACAAATAAGTTATTTTAATCGTTTTTGAGATTGTAATCAGCAAACCATGTTTCCAATTTCCTAAAAAACTGAAAATTGATGAAACGTAAACAGAGTGAACTCAGTGGAGTGATGAAGTATTTACCTGGAGTTGGCTGCTGGTGAGATTGAAAACGGCCGATTGGTGGGCGACTGTTATTCTAAACGTCAGACTTGAAGCTTCACAGAAGATGGGTGGGAGAAAGGCGCGTTAGAAATCTTGAGCGAAAGAACATGGCGAAACTGAGGTGGGGATTGAGCAACATACTCCGTATTAAAAAGTTAAAATATAGGCATCGACTAAAACGAGTCTTGAGCTAAATCGCCGATTAATTACAAAGTCGGCCGACTATGGGCTTTAGGCGCCGGATAAGTCGGAGGTCCGATTTTGAAGCCGATTTTTAGAACATTGGTACAGACTAATGTAAAAGAAGTGCATTTTCACATTCAAGGTTAAGTGAAGCAAATAAAATACTAGGTATTTACATTAGAATTTGAAAAGACAGAAACTTTGTGGATGCGCAACAGCAACCAGAAATCAGACCTGGGTTTCAAAGCAAAGTTACTTCCACGCAGGTTTAATTGCAGGTATCAGCTCTCATTCCCAAAGTCAGATTGGGGATAAACCCATTGTGTCGTCTGGACTTAGCGAGTCCCAGACCAGTATTGCTGAGTTGAAGATTTATGTGAACAAAGGAGCTAGAACCCATTGTCGTAGGTGAACAGTAAGCGCCCAAACCGACAACAGAACTCCAGCCTTATTCCACCCCCACCTTTGACGAAGGAGACATAAAGCTTCTACCTGATACGGCGAGTCCCAAAAAGCTCTTAAAAACTAGAAACACTCAACAATTTCTTAAAGTCGAGACCAAATCAAAATCTACATGGAACAGTACAAACGCGATTGAAAAGCCTCGTTTCTTGGGTTTTTTTGCCATAAAACGTCCTTCCAATCTCAAATCGAACGTTGAAAATAAGATTGGTAGTAGATTCCGACTAATAAATAGCAAGATTAAGAATAAAAAACAACAAAACCATGTTACCAAGCGATTCATCGTGCGGCATAGGCCTGTAATTCCGGTTGCTAACCCTACGTGACCTATCGCCCCTCGCCGTTACAATTAGCCAAGCTTTTACAAGGGGGTTACAGAAGCCTCGCTCAATATGTTAAAGAAAGTAGATTGTAGAGCAGATGTAGTCACGAGCATGACCAAGAAAAGCCGACGATCGATCGAGGAGTTGGAGACCTAGGTTCACAAAAGGAAAGCTGAAACGAAAGAGGAAAAAAGAGCAAGTGTCTTACTCCGTAGAATAAACTCTAAGGGCTGTCCCATAAGTAATGAATAGGGACGCGCGTTTACAAATATACTCCGTAAAAAATGTCGAGTGTCACTACTTCATGCTCATCTATTTTTGTTACAAAATAGCGACACTTTTATGTTAGAAGTAGCATTTTATCAGAAAGTGTCACTATAAAAGTGTCACTGTAAGCCATTTTTCTACTAGTGAAAGCACAACACAAACTGCGAATTTGTAGAGCTAATGTTTGTTATTCAACTTTAATTATTTTAATTGATGCAACAATATGTTTTTTTGAAAATGTTTATTTAATTATATGTATTTAAGCTTTTTGTCGTGCATCGCACGGGTGAGCTACTAGTGGTAGATTAAGATGGAAAAAAAATATACTTCGTACATGTTTGTATACAATATTAACTAAATGTTATTATTATTATTTAATACTAGCTAGTAACATTTTAATACATAATGAAGTTGTGTGAGTAGGTAGTATATTACAGTATGTTATTAAGCGTGACAACTCTATCTTTCATACATGTTAATGTCTATGTGTGTGTATTTTTATACATACACAAACACAACATTACTAAATAGGGGCGGACCTAGGGCAATGTGACGGTACAAAGAATATATTTTTGAAAATTTTTTACATGGAATTTTTTACACACTAAACATATACATTTTTTTTAATATGGGCTGGGCCAGGGCCGATGCTTTTTGGAACATTGGTTAAAATCATTGAAGTTTTGTGTTTGGCACACCTATTGAGCTAAATGGGGATGGAATCGTTTAAATCTTTTGTGCTCTTGATTTTTACGTAGTACTTCTTAATTACAAAAGTTTGCATTGGTTTAATCTGACGATCAATGTATTTTAATTTAACCAATAATTTTAAATAATATATTTTGGTGAAAATTATTACAGTTTTACGAGTCTTTCAAAAAATTGTATTCAATCTGTATATTATATTACCACCTGAAAATATTTTTATCATTAACCGTCAAAATCTTTGCTTTTTTTGACAGAAAATCTTTGCCAAAAAAAAGGAAAATGTGATAGTAGTATAAAACAAACTCGTTATTGGGGTAGTAAGCTGTGCACTTTCATTAAAAAACATCATCATTATTCAAAATAAAGCACCCAAAACGTATGAAGCACAGAAACTCTCCACGGGTCACGTTTCCACGTTTCGGAAACTCAGAAGCGTTTCAGAAACCCAGAAACTTCAAATTCCCGTTTCGGGGCCGTTTCCGTAATTAATAAAAATTTGGAAACTCGTTTCAATTCACTACGTTTCAGAAACCTCGGATTCCAATTTTTTTTTCCTTTTTTAAAGATTCTGTGGTGGAAAATAATTTTTTTTATAGCGAATTTTTGTGGTATTTCTCAGCAGCAACACATGTTACATTTCGTAACGCAATATATTGCTAGAAATGTATTACTCCGTGCATTTTATGTTTAATTATGTACTAATATTAAGTAATATCTAAATTCGAACATGTAGAGTGATATTATTATTTGGTTACTAAACAAATTATATGAAAAAAACATGTGCTTATGGAAAAACTTGTGTACATATATTATAAAATATTTATAAATATATCCTTATATTTTATAATATTTACATGTTTCCCCCATGTTTCGTGTCCTATATATTTTAGAAATTACATTTCTCGTGTTTCCTGTTTCTTGTTTTACGTTACCCGCTTTGTGTTTCCGTGCTACTTAGCCCGAAACAATCACATTTGGCTTGGTGGTTTTCACCAATGCATCATCCTCATATTCAACATATCCAACCCAATGCTGTTGGGAATAACAGGATCGTGCTTATATGAGAGAAAAACACTTCTATTACTTTCAAGAATAGAAAGAAGAGACATACAAGCTCTAACTAAAAACTCTCAAAACACCTCACATATCTCTCAAGGATATTCACAACTCTTCTTGGTTGTGCTATGATGATCTATTCTAATTTACTTGATGATAGAAAGACTCTCCAAGCTCTCTATTTATAGTACCAAAATAAGGTAGTATGAAGGTGGAAGGAAGCTTCAATGGTGGTTGGAAGGAAGGTCACTCCTAGGTGTATGGAAGCTCCCTTTGTCATTCTTGCACATGGAGGAAACTTCAGGGAAATTAGGAATTGAATTCTTCAATTTGTACTTGGATATGACCTGGAAATTGAATTCTTCAATTATCCCCTTCCAGGCATATTCAAAACAAGCATCCCGACTATGTCTCTGCACAGCTCTAGCTTATCCCGTGTCACCACCTTCGTCAGCATGTCTGATGGATTCTCCTTTGTATTGATCTTCACTAGTCTCAACAGTTGTTGATCAATCGTCTCCCGTATCCAGTGATACCGAATGTCAATATGCTTTGTACGAGAATGGTACATAGAGTTCTTGCTCAAGTCTAGAGCACTCTGACTGTCACAATGTACCTTGTACTCTTTCTGCTGGATCCCAAGTTCTTGGAGAAAACGCTTTAACCACAACATTTCCTTACCTGCTTCAGCGGCAGCAATGTATTCTGTTTCTGTTGTAGATAAAGCAACACACTTCTGCAATCTTGATTGCCAAGAAACGGCTCCCCCTGCAAAAGTGTAAATATATCCTGAAGTAGACTTTCTACTATCAGTATCTCCGGCCATATCAGCATCTGTGTAGCCTTCCAAGACTGGATCAGCTCCTCCGTAACAAAGACATAACTTCGTGGTACCTTTCAAATACCTGAGAATCCATTTGACTGCCTCCCAATGCTCCTTCCCGGGGTTAGAGAGAAAACGACTCACTGTACCCACTGCCTGTGCGATGTCTGGCCTTGTGCATACCATGGCGTACATCAAACTCCCAACTGCTGAAGAATATGGAACTGCTGACATCTCCCCGATCTCTTCCTTGGATGTAGGGCATGTTCTTTTGCTCAACTTGAAGTGATTCGCAAGTGGAACACTTACTGGCTTGGCATCATTCATGTTGAATCTCTCAAGTACTCGTTCAATGTACTTCTCCTGAGATAGCCATAACTTGCGATTCTTCCTGTCTCGAGTGATCTGCATCCCAAGAATCTGTTGAGCCGGTCCTAAGTCTTTCATATCAAAAGACTTAGAGAGTTCTTTCTTCAGTTGGTTTATCTTCACTGCATCTTTCCCAACGATCAACATGTCGTCTACATATAGTAGAAGAGCAATGAAGGTACCGTCTGGAAGTTTCTTGATGTATACACACTCATCTGCAGTAGTCTTCTTGTAGCCTTGACTCTTCATGCATGAGTCAAACTTCTTATTCCACTGCCTTGGTGCCTGCTTCAAGCCATACAAACTTTTAGATAATTTACAAACAAAATTATCATTTGAGTTCTCAAAACCTTCCGGCTGCTGCATGTAGATTTCTTCTTTCAAATCTCCGTGAAGAAATGCTGTCTTCACATCCATTTGTTCAAGCTCCAAGTTCATACTTGCTGCCAAGCCAAGTATAACTCGGATTGAGGTCATCTTGACAACTGGTGCAAAGATCTCATCAAAGTCAATTCCTTTCTTCTGCTGGAACCCTTTGACAACCAACTGAGCTTTGTGTTTCACCACTTGTCCATTTGCATCCTTCTTCAGCTTGAACACCCATTTATTCCTTAGAGCTTTCTTCCCTTTAGGAAGTTCTACGATCTCATAGGTTTGATTTTTCTGTAGAGATTCTAACTCATCCTGCATTGCTATTAGCCATTTTTCTTTATCCTTGTGAGACATAGCTTCTTGAAAACTCTCCGGTTCTCCATCTTCAGTTAACAAAAGATATTCAGATGATGTGTACCTTGTCGATGGTATATGCCCTCGTTCAGATCTACGAACAGTTGGAACCATCTGAGAAGAGCTACCATCATCTGTGTCTGGCGGGGTGGATTGTGTCTCCCCTTGCTCTGCACTCTCTTCTGTCTCCTCCTCTTCGGCTGCTTCTGAGTTATCTTCATGCACTTCGTCCTCTTCTGGTGCTTCATTTGAAACTTGAGCACCCTCATTTGACTTCCGAGACATTGTGGGTTTTTCAATGTCTTCTATTGTCAAATCTTCGTGGAACACAACGTCCCTACTTCTGAACACCTTTTTCTCCTTAGGATCCCATAACCTGTATCCAAACTCTTCATTTCCATAGCCAACGAAAATGCATGGGATAGTTCTTGCATCGAGCTTCTGCCTGAGCTCTTTGGATACATGTGCATATGATGAACAACCAAATACTCTAAGATGTGAGTATGTAGGATCCTTACCTGTCCATAACCTCTCTGGAACTTCAAAGTTCAGTGGTACCGAAGCTGATCGGTTGATAAGGTAGCATGCGGTGTTGACTGCTTCTGCCCAGAATGACTTCGGAAGCTTAGCCATATTCAGCATGCTCCGGACACGCTCCATGATAGTCCGGTTCATTCTTTCAACAATGCCGTTGTGCTGAGGGGTGCGTGGTACTGTCTTCTCATGTCGAATGCCATATTCTCTACAATATGCATCGAACGCCTTAGAAGTATACTCGCCTCCATTATCAGATCGGAGACATTTCAGCTTCTTTCCCGTTTCACGTTCCACCAAGACGTGAAATGTCTTGAAGCACTCAAATACCTGATCTTTCGTAATCAGGAAATACACCCACACTTTCCGAGAAGCATCATCAATAAAAGTCAGAAAATATCTGCTTCCACCGATTGATTCCACCTCGAAAGGACCACAGACGTCGGAGTGTACCAAACTTAACAACTCTGATCTTTTAGCTGAAGTAGAACTAAATGATACTCTATGATGCTTACCAAACAGACAATGACTGCAAGGACCCAGTGCAGCATTCTTGTCGATGTTGATAAGGTTCTTCTTGATCAAGGTAGTCAGCCCTTTCTCACCGATGTGGCCGAGTCTCAGGTGCCACAGATTCTGAGAAGTCTCCTCAGCAATGTTGAGGCTATCCGTACAAATCCTCAAATGGGTTTTGTACAATGGCCACAAACATGTCCTCGAGCGATTGTCAAAACGCACTTTGACATTTTCCAGGTGCCCCTGTTAAAGTGGTTTTCATACCCCTGTTCGTCAAGACATACCACTGACAAGAGATTGAGACGAAGGTCTGGAACATGTCTGATATCCTTCAAAGTGATTGTGCTCCCAGAACTCGTCTTTATTTGTACATCACCAATTCCAGCTATTTCAGATGAACTGGAATTGCCCATCTTCACTGCTCCAAAGTCTCCAGCTTTGTAAGTTGTGAAGTAGTACCTGTGGGGAGTAACGTGGTAGGATGCTGCAGTATCTACCACCCATTCAGTGTCCTCTCTTGAGACGTGAAGGCATGCTTCATCATTGATAGTACAATACGCCACATCACCTGAGATTGTGATGAGCGCTTCACCACCCTTGTTCTTCGCTTGAGAATTGCTCTTGCCTCGCTCCTCTAGCAATTTGTAGCAATTCTTCTTCATGTGACCCTCTATACCGCAATGGTGGCAGGTATAAGAAGGTTTCCGGCCATCCGATGATCTCCCCCGACTTTTGCCTCTGCTTTGCCATTTCCCTCTACTGTTTCTTTGTTGTTTTCCTTGTGATCTTCCTCTATTCTCCGTCACAAGGGCATGAGTCTCATCTGTGCTCATGTCTTTCCTTCTTGCCTCCTCATTGAACAGTGCATCCTTGACCACAGACATGGTAAGTTTGCCATCTGGGGCTGAGTTGCTGAGAGTAACAACTAGTGTCTCCCAACTATCAGGAAGGGAACTAAGAAGCAGTAGAGATTGCATTTCATCTCCAAGTGGCATTTCTACACAAGATAGTTGATTTACCAGACTCTGAAATTGACTAGTATGTTCGGCAACAGAAGTTCCACTTTTGAGCTTCATATTGACAAGACGCCTCATCAGTAGGGCCTTGTTCCTAGCGGTCTTGGCCTGGTACATATCTTCTAACTTTTTCCAAAGGGCATAAGCATCGGTTTCTTGTGAAACATGGTGGAAGACACTATGGTCAATCCATTGTCGGATTTGACCAATAGTTTTTCTATTTATTTTCTTCCACTCCGTTGACTTGGCCGGATCAGAATTAATACCTTTCATCTCTATTGGATCAAAAAGGTCTTTACAACTAAGGAAATCTTCCATCCGAGGTTTCCATAGCGTGTAGTTGGTAGCCGTGAGCATAATCATAGCTCCGGAAGATGAAGTTGACTCGTCAAAGGTCATTTTCACCTTCTAAATAATTTTGATTTTCTGTTTCAGAAAAATCGGAGCCGAATTTTGAAAAACGGGCAGCACCGTTGCGTCCGGAACGGCCGAAAGTGGTGGGTAGGCACTTTCGGGGTCAAAATACAATTTTCGAAAAATTATAGGTGGAAATTATAATTTTCCAAAAATTGAGGGACCAAACTGCAAATTTTCAAAAATTACAAACTGACCGGTGACGTGGCAGATGACGTGGCAGTGACGTGGCGGTGACTGGGCGATGACGTGGCAGCTGACTGGGCGCTGGTGAAAGTTGGCAGTTGACTGGTGATGTGGCGCTGAAGTGTCGCTGACGCAGCTCTGGCTGGCTGATGACGTCATCGATGACGTCAGCTGTCTTCAACCTCTGTCTGCGCGTGATGACGTCAGCATGACGCAGGCAGTTTTTGGCCGGCGTTTGGCGGCGCGTATGGCAGCTTCCGGTGGTCAAAAAAATCCCCAAAAATACCAGTTTTCTCGTCTCGACGAGACGAATCCAACGGTATATTCAGATTGCAATTCCGAGCAATACTGAAAAACTCGATTTTTCAGACAGTAGAATTTTATCTGAAAAAAAAATCTGGGAAAAATATCAAAAGCTCAACCAGGCTCTGATACCACTTGTTGGGAATAACAGGATCGTGCTTATATGAGAGAAAAACACTTCTATTACTTTCAAGAATAGAAAGAAGAGACATACAAGCTTTAACTAAAAACTCTCAAAACACCTCACATATCTCTCAAGGATATTCACAACTCTTCTTGGTTGTGCTATGATGATCTATTCTAATTTACTTGATGATAGAAAGACTCTCCAAGCTCTCTATTTATAGTACCAAAATAAGGTAGTATGAAGGTGGAAGGAAGCTTCAATGGTGGTTGGAAGGAAGGTCACTCCTAGGTGTATGGAAGCTCCCTTTGTCATTCTTGCACATGGAGGAAACTTCAGGGAAATTAGGAATTGAATTCTTCAAATGCATCATGCCGTTTACAAAAGCCTGACCACTAAACAACCACCTTGTAGGAAACAAATCATGAAGGAATTGTTGAATCCGCCACTTACCTGAACTCAAAGAGTAGATTTCAACTGACATAGGATTAACCCCATCATTTTTATTGACCCTCACAACTCTATAGTCACCGTCACTTGCAACACAAAATCCGATTTGACAACTACTTGACCTTGGAGGAAGAATGGAGGGAGGTGGTAATACCACGTGTCTTCGAATAGAAGGATTCCATCACGTAATTAACAAGTGAGAATGTGGATGGGTAAAGCATAAACAAAGCAATCCGTCGAAGCTGCCCACGATTTCGAGCACCCTCGAATCCTTTTGATTGAAAGGACCCGAAAACCTAATTGGGAATTCCCTATCAGGTTTGACGATTGGTCCAAGTTGTAGAGTGAGATTGTCGTCCAGATTTTCACCATCTTTGATAAGAGCAAAACGAGTATTTAAATCACCCTTAGTTATACAGAAGATCGGAATTGATCGGCAGCTCTTTTAGACAAGTGTGCTGAGACGAATCCGGAATTCGTCAGGATAGAGAACCATGACTTACTCACTGTAGTGAAACGAATCACAGATTTTACGGGTAATCTCGTGAGGATTTCAAAAATGAGTTCATTGGGCAATGATAGCAGCAATGGCAGCATTTCATAGGAAAACCGGCTTAAGTTTAGGTGAAATTTGAGAATACCGTTTGCAAAAATTGGAATTTCTCTGTGATTACAAGGTATTACTCTGAGTAAGAAGTAGGACCTCACCTGTGTGATCCCTAAAGCCTCTCTTTAAGAGCATGATGTTATGTGACAGCTAGCCGTTACTAAGTCCCACCCTTTCAAATGTCAATGCAAAAACCATGAGAGAGCTAACAACCAATGTCATGCAATTTGAATCTAACTTTTAGTAGTTTGGTGGAACTTCCTGTCCTGGTGCAAAAAAGGTTTTGGGCTTCTAGCCGTTAGCTTGAATGAACTTTTGCATCTTCCTCTTTTATAGTCTCGTCCATCAAATCCTCGTCTTCAATGCGCCCTGAATCTAAACATTGAGGATTAGCAATACAGGAAAAGTTAGATTAACTTGCTCATGAAAAGAAAAATGAACAGAATATAGAAAAATACGGCAAGGAGAACCTCGCAATATTTGAAACCAATCAAACTTTTTGGCATGGGCTATGTGTGTGCCAATATTTTAAATCTCAATGTAATATTTGGCAAAAATATGTCACTTTAAAAAATGCTCAGCCTTGTTATTAAGTCCTCACTCCTCCCACCATGTAAATGTTAAATTGACTAGTCAAATATTTTGAAAAGTCCGGAAGATCTTGCAAGACATTTATATCTCATTATCTGGGGTTTCAATGTTAATTTGGTTGCAAAAATAACCTCATACTCCATAATCCATATGGCGCAGTTCGAAAAGGCCACAGTTCATACCAGCCATCAAAATAGCAATTAATATTGTTGGGTCGCTTGACCAAAAAAAAAAAACAAAATCGGCCGCATTACATTAAGGGGTTTTGACACGAATATTACTAAAAAGTAGACAATAGACAAAAAAGAGACATTTTATCTTAAATTCCAAAAATGTGACTAATAAGGAAAACACATACAAGTGAAGAGATGTGTTGTTTTACTCATGTAAGGAGTTTGTGATTTAAATCCTTTCCATGTGGTTGGCAACTCAATTGTCACAAAAACTTCATCTTCGAAGTCGAACCATAGCAACCGCTCTTGAGAGAAAGGTGGTTGTACTGAATCAGGGTCATCAATTATTTGTACCCGCCAATAGTATTTCCCATTAAAATAAAAATCATCACGCAAGCTAGCTTACGAGCACGTTTGACAGAGCATCAATTTGTCTCCAGCTCCATGAACCATCACGAGATTGGCTGCAAACCCTTCCGCGCGAATTCACATATTCTCTATTTCTCTTTTCATATGAATCTTCAACACACCATAGCACGACAACTTTCCAAGTCATGCTGTTGTTCGAAACCCCAAACCCAATCCCTTCCTACATAAGACTGTGGTATGGTAATATTTCAGGGAATTTTTCGTAAGGCACAGTAAAGGACGGTAATGCCTTGATTTCCCTTGTGAATGGGTTCCATATCATTACATCGAAATAATCGGATTTCGTAGCAAAAATACCACCAAACATAGTTATCGTCCGCTGATCCTTACCCAGAACAAAACATACCAATCCATTGCAAACACTTACAAGCCTTGCAAGGCAATTTGGAAATTCTACGTATGTGCAAACTATGTCATCAGACTCCGATCCTTTGTAAAGCAAATTGAACAGTTTGTTAGGTTGGCCATGATCTCCACAAGTCATCTCTATAATAGCACATTCGTATTTCTCTCTATTCACTTCATACAATTTGTGGAATAATAGGTGATTGTAAGGAGCTTGTGATTTAAATCCTTTCCATAAAATTAAAGTATTTGCACACGCATTTAAAACGCATAAGAGATTTTACGGGCAAATTCACCAAGATCTCAATGAGCAGCTCCTTCGGTGACTCGCAATTGTCCATTTCCGGAGGGTAATGGTAATCCAAACTATTTTTCGAATCTTACTGTAGGGTTGAGATAGAGGATAGGAGAGGTTGAAGGTTGATATAATGCTTCTGAAGCTAAAGAGCAAGCTGACTAGCTGAGCAGCGTATAAATAAATTGTGGATGCTACCTAATCTCTTGGGCCCCAGATCGCTGTTCACTAGCTATGATCTTTTTTTAAACGTCAAATTTTGCAAATTCTATTTGTGAATTCCGCTTCAACAAAATTCTGTTTTGTACTATCGTATTTTATTTGGGCATGAAATAATGTTGGAAGAAATTACGTTAAAATAAATATTGTTACACAATGTCAAATTATACTGGTATTGTTTTATTGATGGTCATCTGTGTGGAGGACAGGGGTAGGGCGGATCCAAGGGGGGTCAGAGTGGTCAGCCAACCTCCCTGAAAGTTTGAGAATATACAGCTCTGAGACATCTTCAATTTGATATATTATGCTCTCGTAACTCATTACGAGAAAAAATTATGATTTCTGTAAAATCAACACTATCTAAACGTAAAATACAAAACAATCAATGCATAATACTAGTATTGATTATTTTTCCAAATTTTAAAAAATAGCGTATAATTAATTCATTACTTACGTGACATGACTCAGAAATAGAGCAACAAAAATCTCTCTTATTACTACGAGTGCCTATTTATCTAAACTACTTCATTATGAAATATTCAACTCTGAAGTCAGATATTGTTTACTCCCTCCGTAACATTCATATATTCCCACTTTTTTTTTTGACGTAACATTTATATCTTCACATTTCTAAATCTTCTCATCATACCCTCAATAATTTAAAAAATAATACACTACTACATCTACTTTTTTTGGATTTATCCTTCATTCCATCACATTATTTCACCATTTTCTCATCATACTCTCAATAATTCATACCCCATTTCACTATTCTTAATCACACCCACTTTGGAAGTGAGAAGATATATATGATACGGAGGGAGTAAAATTAAAAAGATCCACCATTTTCATTTTGCATAAAGTTGATTTTCGACCCTTGGACCGTTTTCTGGCCCCACCACTGACAGGAGGAATGACCTTAACCCCAAACCGGAAATGAAGAGTTAAATATTTTTATTAATCATGATTAATGAACTAAGGTACTTTTAATTCTTACTTGCAAGCTAAGGAAACATCTATTGAAGATGACAAGGTAACATTACCTTTTCGTACTGTTTTCCCGCAACATTAGCTTGCTTAGTGCTTACCGTCGGGTTTAATGCACCAAACCCCCTGTGATTTGGAAATTCGGCGCATTAGCCCTCTTAGATTTAAAAAATGCGTCAAACCCCCTTGTTTGTTAATTATTTATGCACAAAACTCTCTTTATGAATAAATTTAACGATTTGAAAATCACTTTTCCTAATATTTTGATTGAATATGCAAATAAATATGTCAAAATCTCTGAATCATACAAAAATGTTAATCATTTTTCTTTTATTTGACAATTGAATATGTTCACATAAGGGATTTGGTGCATGATAATTAAAACACAGGGGGGTTTGACGCATTTTTTAAATCACAGGAGGCTACTGCGCCGAATTTTCAAATCACAGGGGGTTTGGTGCATAAACCCCTTACCGTCCCACCCACTTACGTGCTAAAGTTTGCTTCATTCCCAAAAAAGAATTGCATTCAGAATAACATATTCGCTTCCAAAAAAAAGTGGCAACAACGTGTTTCATACTACCAACCAGACTTGAAGTACACATTTTTGTAAACATACTTACACTAAATCTAACCCTTGAGATTTAGGCTATGTTTGGCATTCGAATTCAGTTAAAAAGGGGCTAAAATTAGTTATTTTCAGTCAATTTTAATTAATGTAGACTATTTCGACAGATTTCTTTATGCGTTAAATATTTCTTATCAAACCCTGATTTAGTTCAACATGATTTTTAATTCAAACACTGAAATTATGGATATAGGGGCTGTATTGATTAAATTTGTTAAAATAAAAAAAATATCGTTACACATTTTTTGTACACACACTTACACACTCATGTCTGTGAAGTGTTTTTTTTGTCTGTATACAGACACAACTTATTTCACAGACACTTCAAATGCGTTGTGTCTGTATACAGACAAAAAAAAACACTTCACAGACATGAGTGTGTAAGTGTGTGTACAAAAAATGTGTAACGATATTTTTTTTTTTATTTTAACAAATTTAATCAATACAGCCCCTATATCCATATATAATTTCAGTGTTTGAATTAAAAATCATGTTGAACTAAATCAGGGTTTGATAAGAAATATTTAACGCATAAAGAAATCTGTCGAAATAGTCTATATTAATTAAAATTGACTGAAAATAACTAATTTTAGCCCCTTTTTAACTGAATTCGAATGCCAAACATAGCCTAAATCTCAAGGGTTAGATGATACTTCATTGTTTGAAATTGCTAGATTATTTTTATTTCTTTTTCATAAGGAGTACTTATTATTCTACGGAGTATTTCTTACTCTATTAGAAGAGTTTTCTAGTAAATTTCCTTTGCAGACAGTTTTTTTGTCATTTTTTTCTTCCCTTATTTTTACTTCATTTTCCTTTTTATGTGATTGTCTTCTTAATCATTCTCATTTTAATAAGATCTTTTTCCAACTTTTCTTTTTGTTATTTTTTCTTTTTATTTTTCACTTTCCCTCTTTTTTTCTTATTGTTACTTTTTTGTGTTTTTTCTTCTTTCTTCTTGTTACCTTAATTACATCATCAATATTTGTTTCTCCTTTCTGTATCATCATATTTTTCTATGCCTACTCATAAATTTCATCAACTATGAGAAAAAAACTTTGTGATAAAAAGATAAGGGAAAAATAAAATTTAAAGAAAAATAAAACAATCAGGAAAATGTAAGAAGGAAAATATTACATACACTCTTTACACGAAGAGGGGTAGATGTGAAAAACATTATCCGAAAAGGGTAAAAAATAAGAAGAAATCTAGAGCAAGAAATCGTCACTATTCACTAACACGTAAAAAGCAAGCGAAAAGGGATGAGGTGAAAAAACACAAAAAAAAAAAACAAATACGTAGTATTTTTTAGGAAGGTGAAAAGAGAAAAAAGAAGAAAAAGGTGAATTTAAAGAAAAGAAAGATTGAAATAAAAATTAAATAAAATAATAACGAGTAATATGGATAATAGTCTATAAAAGAGAATGATGAAAATATTACTCCGTAATACAATAAAAAGCGAAGAAATAATATCTGGTATATAATAGGTCGTCAACCGGTTAGAATCCACTGAAGGAAGTAGGGTCCAAAGGTGGGATTATTTTGAGATTACGAGCCCGTTTGGTAAAACGAAAATCGGCCGATTCGACTAATTCTACCGAAATTTAGGAAGTCTTGTTTGAAGTGGATGCATTGGCTTATTCTGCTGATTTAAGAAAAAATTATTTTTAAAATATATTTTATTAATAAAATAAAGAAAAAATTATACTACATATGTGAAAATTGTTAAAATGGTCATCTACAGTAA